TTATTGTCTTAAATTTGATCTCAAGACTCAAGTGCACAAATATAGCCATTGCTCTTTTGGCCACTGCAGAGTGGTTTTGTGTACATATGGACCCGTCGAACCCTGATTTGGCATCTAATTCTTTCAGCTCCTTGACAAGTTATGGTGGTGTAGGTCATATTTTATGAGCAAGACTGGAATCCCCAGGTAGACAGGCAGGCCTTGCAGCGTGCTCACCGAATTGGTCAAACAAACCATGTGTTATCTATAAATTTAGTCACGGAGCAGACGGTCGAGGAGGTGAGAAGAGGATTGTAAACTATCTCGAAGTTGATGTTTAGTTCCTCTAAGTGAGGGTTCTAACTGTGTAGGTCATTATGCGTAGAGCACAACGGAAGTTACAGCTTAGCCAGAATATTGTAGGAGATGATGTCTTGGATCAGGAAGGGAAAGAGATCGCAGGAGCTGAAGCTGGTGACTTGCGATCTGTTATACTTGGATTGCATATGCTAGATCCTGCAGAGATAACCAATGAGGAATCAGATGAATTTGATAGGACTGAGTTGGCTGCAATGGCAGAAACGATTATTGCATTTCGTAATGAAGAACGTTCTGCCAAAGATGAGTTTGAGGTAAAGCCAGTTGACAGGTTAAGCGAGTTCAATGTTGTCACAAAAAGGGGTCCAGAATCTATTAAGCTGGATCCTCGTCTTGATGAAGCTTCATATCTCGCGTGGGTTGAGAAATTCAAGGAAGCATCACAGGCTAACCATGGTCCAATTTTCGAGCTGGGCAATAGGAGAAGGTTGCCTGAAGAAAAGCAGGTAAAAACTGAAGCTGCAAAGAGAAAGGAAGAGGAGGAGAAGTTGTCAAAGTGGGAAGCTCTTGGATACCACTCATTATCTGTCAGATATCCTGTATCAGCTCCTGATACTGATATCTCCTCAGATTCCGGTGCTGTTCATTTTGTTTATGGGGACTGCACTCATCCTTCTAAAGTGTCTCCATCAGAGCCGACCATTATATTCAGGTTTTATATGCTCTCTGTGATATCTTACCTTTCTTTGTGAAGCTTGTGATGCTTGTTGCAGCTTCTATAGAAAGTTTCTTGGCTGTTGTTCTAATTGCACAAGTATTTAGCTTCTCTTGAAACTTTGTTGTGAAATCTTGTTTGTTCTCTTTGTTCAAGTTCTTTTCTTTTTCTTTCCAAAAGTTCTTCTCTTGCTTGCTTGGAATCTTCGTATATTGTGTTTTATGACAGAGAGGATTCCATGGTAACTGCAATTTCCTTTCAATTTTGACTCTTCCTTGCAAGCTTCCATTGTTGAATGGTTTGGAAGTATATGTATGTAACTAATAATTACTTAATAGAGGACGCTTGTATCTGATAAATGCTTAAAAGCACTCCAAGCTGGGCAAAAATTTATTTATACTGCATGTATTTCTTATCAATATTTCTTGGCAGCTGTGTTGATACATCCGGAAGCTGGGGTCATGGGGGTATGTTTGATGCATTGGCGAGATTATTGTCTAGTGTACCTGCTGCATATGAGCGAGCTTCTGAATTTCATGATCTTCATCTAGGTGATCTCCATCTTATAGAGATTACAGGTAAATTCGGTTTCTTTTACGAGTAATCATGTGCTTGTTTTCCCCGACATCACTAGCGCTGACACTCAAGGTTTTAAACTTGTCCTATTCTTGTTACTCGTCTGAGCTAATTAAGGAACTGACTGACTTGTATTATTCAGGTGTACTTGATATCCATTTTATCAGCTTACATCCAGTTCATGTCAGAAGATTTCTTTCTATGATAGAGTTTAGTAGTACCATTTTGCATACATATCTGTATAACTGCTGTAACTCAATATTTGCGTCCATAGTCAAGTCTACCGAGATATCAGTTTGAAACCATGCAATGTTTGCTTAACTTGGCATGTATCGACTTGTAAATTAGGACTGGCTGGAAGTATATGAGATGATATGGTAGTAGATAGTAGATATCCACACTGTAGCTAGAAAAGCTGAGGGTTCACGCTGGTCTTAGTGGAAGTTTTCTTGGAGTTGCTTTTAACAAAAGACCTTGTCTTTTGCTGAGATGGGAAATAAATAAAAGTCCAAATTAGCAGAAATGAGAGAAAGAAATGATAGATCCGCGTGGGATGCAGTTGATTGGTGGTTTCCAGGAGTTGTTTATTGCCGCATGCAGTGCAACAGCTAAATTCTTTAGATGGGAAAATAAAAATAGCTCAAGATTATTTGTTCTGTATTTTTCTTTTCTTTTCTGTGTTCTTCATCCTCTGGTCACTTCTGTCAATCTTCTTTATTTGCCTTAGGCTTTACCTTTAATTCGTTTTTTCCCATCTCCACATGACATTGTTATGTAGAGGATCTCACTAGTGGCAGTGGTTCACCTCATGCTCCTCAGTGGGTAGCTTTGGCTGTTGTGCAGTCCTACAATCCTAGGCGCAAAGTCCCACGTGGCAGTATCTCCATCCTTGACTTGGAGCATTGTCTATCAAAAGCATCATATTCAGCTGCTCAAAAGTCTGGTACATTCAATTTCCATGCTTCTGGAGAAATTTCTTCTGTTCTACTTGTGGTTTGAATTCTCTTTGTTTTTGTATGGTCTGCAGTTGGGTTCCTATTTTTCAATCTTTGCACAAGTATAAATTTGGTATTTGAGATATTCTGGGAACTTAGTAGGACAGTATAACGACAGGTTGAATGGGGAGAGATGGAGGCGCTCTAGCATGGGTGCCTTAAAAACAAGAAGTTTCTTTTTTCCGTCTTAAAGTTGGCAGTTCCCAATGCTCCTCTTTCTATCTTTTTTTTTTTAGTTGGATGACCCTGAAGGGACATTCCTGGTGCTTCTCTTTGCTCCATGAAATGTGCCAACTTCGAGCACTTTACTCAAAACTCTACAAGAATCTGAGACGAAGTTTGACATGAGTTTAGGTTAAAAATGGAGATAATATACGTCTTATATAGCACATGTTCCATGGGAAGTTGCATTCAGAATCGTGTTGATATAGCTTAAGATCATTGGTTTTGGCCATGCCACCAGGCATTCTTTAAGACATTTCATAATGGTCCAAGTGCCTTGTTGCATCTCCTCGAATATAGTCATAGCGATCTACTCTGGTACAGATATATCAACCAGTATATATCAATCAGTTAGTTATTCCTCGATCCAAGTTAGTGTGGGGCGGGCAATATGAATTTTCTGTATTTGTACTTCTCTTGTTCATGCACATTTCCTTCAAAGACTAGATCATTTGTCATTTAAGCAAATTAAGAGAGAAATTGGTCATATACTTTCTAATGTTGAGATGTGTAGAATTATGGACAAGGAGTTACAGCTAGGTTGGAGTTTAAATACTAATTTTTCATTTGCTGTTTAAACAAGTGAAATAAGCGCAAAAAACTGAGATTGATATTTGGAGCTGCTGAAATGGATATCGGATGTTTTTGAAATGTTTACAAAATGGATTTAGGTGCTTTCAAATACAAGAATGGAGAAGAAATAAACAGATATTCATTTAAGAGAACAAAGGAAAGTCGAGAACACATCAATCTAATGATGTTTCCTTCTTGTTGGAACCATATGAAACAAAGGAGACTGATGTAATATTCCGAATAATTATTAATCTCAGAACAGCAGAAGTTGTATTAGTAAATATTAGTAACTTATCCGAGCAGACCAGTATCTATGAAAATTAGACTAAACATTAGTCAGTTATACTGCAACCAACTTGTACATATATGTAGAAAAAGTGTATTATGGAAATGGTTGTACAAAAAAACTTTCGCCAAAGTGATGTGCTATGTTTATTCCTAGTCAAGAATGGTTGTGGCCTTGTGGGATGTGGCGGGTACATATGTGCAATGTGCCAGTAGTTCTGTGCCTATACCAGCTCTTGGTAAAAAACAAATTACAAGAAATTTCTGTAGTTATTTGAATATTACCAGGTCATTGTATTGCCAAATGTATCTGTTCAGAAGTTTCCTTGGCTATAACATGGTGCATGTCCAACTATTATCATGTTTACATTTGGAAGCATTGCTCAAATAGTATCATTTGATGGTGACTTCTTGTTTTCTGCCGGCACAATATCCTAATCGTTTATCAACACTTTTTGATATTTCAAGCATCAATCCACATGCCAAGAATTGGTTATCAGGATGGTTCTGACAGGTCAGAATGGTATACAATTGAACGTCTGCTGCGGAAGCATGCTGCTCTCTATGGCATAAATATCTTTGTGTAAGTTCCTTCAATTTGTTGTGTTTCTGTGTGCTCACACATCTAATCTAGTTGTACATGTGCATCAGTGCATGTATATGCTTTAGCAAAGTTGGCTGTTGAAGGATTATGGTAGATTTTGTATTCATTGGATGTTTGCGTTTTTAGCTTGTACATGAGAAGACTTGAGTTTGCAGTTTACCCCTTCTCCAGAAGAAGGAAAAAAGGAAAAAAGAAGCAGCCAAATTCCCCTTTCTAGTTGGCTAAAGTGTCAAATAACAGCTACTGCAATTTTAAACCAAGAACAAGCATTCATCCTCAGATTCCATAAGCATAATTCCTTTTATTTCATGTGTTCAGGTATTATTTCCGGCGTTCAGCACAGAGCTAAGAGGGGGACAGTATCAGTGTTCCATACGCAATGGACACGTCTGGAAAAAATCCGGTTTAGTGTAGATTAACCTTATGCAGTATGAAGTTGGTCAGCCTGTGACATTCTAGATGTCAACAGTTATAATACCTGTATCCTTTTGGTCTAGGTGTGAGTTAAGCAATGATAATATTATGTGGAGATCTCCTTGATGGAGGTTTATGTTTTTCAGACCAATAACTATGGTCAAAGCAACTTTCAGCTTGTTATACAAGCTAATCAATAATTTGGTATCTTGCATTTGTTTTTTGACAAAACAACCATACTAGGTTACTTGTAAATATATGTGATGTATTTTCAATGGAATTATTATCTGAAACATTGTGCATCAATACCCCTTTGTCACTTGCCGATAATCACTCGGCTGGTGTAGAACCACTGGCCTAAATTTGATTACACGTCAGCAAGCACTTATTGTATGATTTATCACACATTTTTACCTACTTTCTTTTTCCATACAAAGTACTTGGTTAAAGAAACATGAAATTTTCAAGCCGTCTCTCTCTCTCTCTATATGCTATTAAGGACTTCGTTACAGAAATGAAATTCAAGCGATGGATGCAGTATTATTGATGCCGCAGTAAGCTTTAGCCGTGCTGTGAATCATGGAGTTAGCACCAGAGAGGTAGTACCAAGCTAGCCCAAAATTATCGAAAGGCTTGTATTGTAAAGGATGTGTTTCATCCACTAATTCCTCAGGTATATCTGTTATTCCTTTGTTAAACGTGAACAGGGCCAATGTGTACCTTTGCTTTTCCTCTTTCAGCAACACTTGGTGCCGCGGTGCATATATTCTTCCATTGCTCCATGCCTATTCCACAGCAAAACACACATACATTGTTGAATATTAAGACGTCTTATCTGTCCGAAAAAGAATGACTGTGTCATTTAAAATGAAGGATAAGTTTAACTTATATGTATTGATAATGTAATTTTATGTGTTGTAACTGGTTATCTGTCTTATTTTTCGGGTAACTAGTTAATTCCCCTTATTATATATTTATCTTTGAGTTAATAGTGTAAAGAATTTTGACATTGGCAATTTAATCGGTTATAAGAGATTATTACTTTATTTCCTAGATTACCGTATCATACTTGATAAGGAGAGTTACCATAGGTTAACCTAAAGTAATAGTCTAATTTTTTTTTAAAAAAAATTGTGGTGCAGTGCAGTTTACTGGTATCTTTCAGGTATGCTGTAAAAATTCTTTTATTCTGTCATATGAAGTTAAACTCAAGAAGAAAATAAACAGATACTAAAAAATATTAGACCTCATAAGCATCTCCAGCCATGAAGATGAATGCAGAAGGAGGGACATCAACGGCAATCCAATCACCACTTTTACTTTCAACTTGCAAACCATTAATCTGATTCTGAAAGAGCAGTGTGGAGAAGCTCTTGTCTGTGTGTATATTTGCACCTATGTTATTAATATTTGCGCCGTCATCGTCTGCAGACGGTGGTGGCGTTGCATACTTCGTAGGACGGAGGAGATATGTAGTGGCTGCTATATGAGATTCATAGTGCCTTTCTGCTACTCCATAGCTTTGGAACACCATTTTGTCCACCAACTGTTCTAGTTCTGCTGCTGCCTTTACGTACGATGTTACTGTTTCACTAACCCCTCAGCCAACAATGGAAAAAGAAAAAAACAAAAATTAATTTTATTTATCAAGAACTATTTTTCAAGTTAATAATATACTGTACTTTATATGTACTCAAACGATTGTCTCAATGACAACTAGTTGTGATCGATTACAACAACAACAACATACCTAATATTATGGTGTGGGATCTGGGGAGGGTAGTGCGTACGCAGATCTTACCCCTACCTTGTGAGGATAGAGAAGTTGTTTCCAATAGGCCATCGGCTCAGGAAAGCATAAGCACCACAATAATGAAAATATAGACAAGGGACAGTACCAAAAAGCCATATAAAAGCAGAATAAAAACAAGACAGTAAGGTGATCAACAATGAAAGAAAACAACGGTTGGTCATAAAAATCTACTACCAACAGAAAGCGAGACTGCGTGTCAATACTATTGTTATGAACATATAGGTTACCTACTCTACTACCCTAATCCTCGACCTCCATACCTTCCTATCAAGGGTCATGTCCTCGGTCAGCTGAAGTTGCGCCATGTCTTGCCTAATCACTTCTTCCCACCTCTTCTTAGGCCTACCTTTACCTCTTCGTAGGCCCTCCAATGTCAACCTCTCACACCTCTTCACTGGGGTGTCTGTGCTCCTCCTCCTCACATGACCAAACCACCTAAGCCGCACTTCCCGTATCTTGTCCTCAATAGGAGTCACACCCACCTTATCGCGAATAACCTCATTTCTAATCCTATCTAATCTGGTGTGCCCGCACATCCATCTCAACATCCTCGTCTTTGCTACCTTCATCTTTTGGGCATGAGCGATTTTGACTGGCCAACACTCAGCCCCATGCAATATCGTTGGTCTCACCATCACTCTGTAGAACTTATCCTTAAGTTTCGGTGACACCTTCTTGTCACACAAAACACCAGAAGCGCGTCTCTATTTCATCCATCCCACCCCAATACGATGTGTGAGATCTTCATCAATCTCTCTATCCCCCTGAATAATAGACCCAAGGTACTTAAAACACCATCTCCTAGGGATGACCTGCGAGTCCAGCCTCACCTCCCTTTCCCCTCCCTGAGTCTCGCCACTGAACTTACACTCCAAGTATTCTGTCTTGGTCCTATTCAACTTGAAACCTTCAGATTCCAGATTCTGCCTCCATATCTCTAACTGCGCGTTCACACCGTCTCACGTCTCGTCGATCAATACAATATCATTTGCAAATAGCATATACCACAACACCTCCCCTTGGATGTGGCGCGTCAGTACGTCCATCACCAGAGAAAATAAAAAAGGCTGAGTGCTGACCTTTGATGCAACCCCATCATAATTGGAAAATGGTCGAGTCCCCACCCACCGTCCTCACTCGGGTCTTTACTCCATCATACATGTCCTTAATCAACCTAACGTAGGCAACAGGTATCTCTAACCTCCAAACATCTCCACAAAACCTCCATTGGAACTTTATCGTACACCTTTTCTAAGCCGATGAACACCATATGCAAGTCCTTCTTTCTCTCCCTATACTGTTCCATCAATCTCCTAACAAGGTGGATGACTTCTGTAGTCAAACATCCCGGCATAAACTCAAACTGGTTCTCGAAAATAGACACACTCCTTCTCACCCTTAGCTCTACCACTCTCTCCCAGACTTTCATAGTATGACTAAGCAGCTTGATACCCCGATAGCTATTGCAATTTTGGATACACCCTTATTCTTGTATGCAGGAACCATCGTGCTCCACCTCTACTATTCGAGCATCTTCGTCGTTTTAAAAATGACATTAATAACCTAGTGAGCCACTCCAAGCCTACCTTGCCCGCACTCTTCCAAAACTCTATCGGAATTTCATCCGGCCAGGTCGTTTTGCCTCTGCTCATCTTACGCATAGCCCCCTAAACTTCATCAACTCTAATCCGCCTACAATACCCAAAGTCACAGCGACTCCCGGAGAGTTTCAAATCACCCAGTACAATGCTTCTGTCCCCCTCCCCATTCCTGAGACTATGGAAGTAGGTTTGCCATCTTCGACGGATAAGCCCATCTGAGTCCAACAAAACTCTACATTCTTCTTGATGCACTTCACTTGGTCCAAGTCACGCGCCTTCCTTTCCCGCACATTAGCTAACCTGAAAAAACTCTTATCCCCACCTCGGTCCTCATACAAACGATTAAAAGCTGCAGTCTTGGCCGCCGTAACTGCTAGTTTTGCCTCTTTCATAGTCAACTTATAATGCTCCCTATTCGCCCTCTTCTCCTCCTCATCTACACTTTCCACTAGTTTCATATACGCTGCTTTCTTAGTTTTCAGTTTTCCTTGTACTTCTCCATTCCACCACCAGTCTCCCTTGTGACCACCATAGTAACCCTTTGAAACCCCTAACACCTCTCTCGCGGCTTCCTTAATGCACTGCGCAGTCGTGGTCCACATAGCGCTTGCGTCCCCACTACTAAAAAATATCATTTTGTTCTAACAAGCATGAATATTACTAACATATTTATCCGATTATTCATTAGTTATTGTTGGGATTAGATGTTGGTGAATGGGAAATGGAGGGAAGATATGTGAAGGGAAAGTGAGTTGTTCCCTTATGCTTTGGAAAGAGCAATTGTCCGGCATTGGTAATGAAAATAAAAGGGAATGTGCTTTTATTAATAAAGCAATTCCCTTGGTGTTAAGTGGGTTGGAAAGAAGGTAAGCCTCACGCTGTCATCATCGCTCGACTTCGGGTTTGCTCAAAGATTAATTGATTAATTTTTTGGACATATTTTCTTTCAATTATTTAATTAATTATCAAAAGTCAACCCGAAATATCCCAGAAAAATTCCTAACGAATTTTTTTGTACAGGAGAATAATTTCCTTAAGGACACACTGTGCATTCAATGGGCTCGATTTCATTCCAACATATATTTTCAGATTCTGTTTTGTGATGTTTTTCAGTTTTTGCATTACCTCTTTTTTTCCCTGTTTCTGTTTTTTGTTACAGAATATTTACTGTTTGATGGAATCTGAATTCATAGCTTTAGCCAAGGCCAGTGAAGAAGCTGAATGGCTCTGAAATTTCTTAGAAGATATTCCATTTTGGCCCAAGCCTTTGACACCTATATGCATGCATTGTGATAATCAAGCATCAATAAGTAGGGCATAGAGCTTTATGTATAATGAAAAATCTCGTCACATACAACGAAGACACAATACCGTTAGACAACTACTCTCTAGTGGTGTTATCACGATTGACTACGTGAAGTCACGAGATAATGTATCGGATCCACTTACAAAAGGCCTATCTAGAGAGACAGTTGAAAGTTCATCGAAGGGAATGGGGTTAAAGCCTAGGACAAGTCATCATGGCGGTAACTTTACCTAGCAGACTGGAGATCCCAAGAGTTAGTTTCAAAGAGATCAAACAAAGTTATGAATGATGGTTTAAAATTGTCAAGTAACTCAACCCATTCTCGTGATGGAGACAATGTTAAGAAATCAGGGTAAAACATTAAGGCTTTTTGATGAGTCAATAAAGCTTAAAGCTTTTTAATGATTTGCTAAGTCTGAAAGAAAATTACTAGATAATGTGGCTATAGGACTACGTGTTTAGAAATCACCTATGTGGGTGTGAAGTGTAAGCCGCTTCAGTAAAGGCCCATTCTCTATGCACTCATAAAATCAGGCGGTATTCATGGCTGAAACAAACACAACCGTGAGAACCATAGATGATTAATAGTTGATTCTGTGACTTATGTTGTCTAGGTATACAACAAAGCTCAACGGTTCAAAAATATCAAATCTACTGATTGATCAAGTATATCCGATATAAGTTCACTACTAAAAGTTCAAAGGAAAACATACTTGTCCAGATATAATTAATCCTTGCTTGTAAATCACAAACTTATCCGTGTATTCCTTTGTCTTATAGTCATTCCCCATTCATATGAGGGATTGTTGGATTGGATGTTGGTGAATGGGAAATGGAGGGAAGAAATGAGAAGGGAAAGTGAGTTGTTCCCTTATGCTTTGGAAAGAGCAATTGCGCATTTGAATGATACCAATCGAGATGGCTTTTTCAGGGTCTGGCCTTTTCCCTGAGGCAATCCCTGGGATTCAAAAGAGAGAGAAGGAATTTCCATTTCGAACTAAAACAACCAGCGCGCTTCCTTCATTGGTAGTGGAAAGAAAATGGAATGTGCTTATATTAAGAAAGCACTTCCTTTGGTGTTAAATGGATTGGAAAGAAGGTAAGCCTCACGCCATCGTCGTCATTGCTCGGCCTCGGCTTTGGTCAGTGATTGATTGATTAATTTTTTGGACAAATTTTCTTTCAATTATTTAATTATTTAATGTGATCAACCCAAAATAACCCAGGATCCGCGCGCGAGAACCGCGATCCAGATATTCCCACTTTATGAAAGGTTGCAAATTTTCAAAAACAGTTCCATAAAATGGCTATAAATTCGCTTTGATCCCAGAATATTTCCTAATGAAATTTTCTAAACTTCTTCTTCTGCTCAAATAAAATCTAGTGTGAATTACAACCATCGAGTGGTTCGCAGTTCACTAGCGTTTTAGATACCGATACTCTGGTGAGTCTAATCGTTCTAACCTGGGAGGATAATATTCCATCATCTCAGGTATTTGAGGGGAATAATTTTCTTAAGGTCACAATATGCATTCAGTGGGCTCGATTTTATTCCAACATATATTTAGATTCTATTTTCTGATTATTTCCAGTTTCTGCATTAATTCTGTTTTCACTGTTTCTATTTTTTGTTACAGGATATTTATTGTAGAATAATATTTGAGTTAATACAGATTAATAAAAGTTATATCATTCAGCATTATTGAAAAAATGACTAAGAAAATCACCCGTTTATACAAGAGCCTCTACATAATTAAACATATAGATAATCTTTGCCTAGGATAGGAAACAACTCATTTCTCTTATTCAAATTCTAAAATTTGGTTGATGTGTTTGGTGCTAATGAAAAGTATACATGCGTCTTTAATTTTATAACTCATCGTACAAAAGCTCTATATACAGTCCACACCTATGATAAACTGGATATAACAAATTTTATCTGCTTAATATGTTATTGAATCGGGTCATGGAACATAGGTTCACTAATGAGTAAGTCCATAGAGTTGGCGAAAATCCTTCAGAAGATGAAGATTAATATAGCGTGTGTCCAGGAGACTAGGTGGGTCAGATCGAGGGCGAAAAACGTGGATGGGTATAAGTTGTGGTTCTCTGGATTCCTGAGGGGTAAGAATGGAGTGGGTATCCTGGTAGATAGCCATCTTAGAGAGTCGGTGGTAGAGGTCAGGCGGGTGAATGATAGACTAATGACTATTAAGTTGGTGGTGGGTGAGGGTACTTTAAATGCCGTTAGTGCATACACGCCGCAAACAGTCTTGGATGAGGAGATTAAAAGGCGCTTTTGGGAGGGGTTGGATGAGATTGTTCGTAGTATTCCGCCTTCCGAGAGGTTATTCATAGGAGGAGATTTCAATGGTCATATTGGGTCATCTGCAGGTGGGTACACTAAGGTGCATGGCGGCTTTGGTTTCAGGGAGCGGAACGGATGGGGCATTTTGCTGTTGGACTTTGCCAAGGCATTCGATCTAGTGATTTTGAACTCAAGTTTTACGAAGCGGGATGAGCATTTGGTTACTTACCAAAGTTCGGTGGCGAAGACTCAGATTGACTATCTCCTCCTCAGGAGATGCGACCAAGGTTATCCCAGGTGAGACCCTCGCAACGCATCATAGGCTTTTGGTGATGGACATTTGTATTATGATAAGGAGGAAGAAGAGTTCAGTACGAGGACGCCCGAGAATTAGGTGGGGCGCCTTAACTCAGGATAAAGATAAGGAGTTGGAAGGAAGGTTATCGGCAATGGGAGCTTGGAAAAGTAGTGGGGATGCAAACACTATGTGGTCGACGACGACAGACTGTATAAGGAAGGCGTCGAGAGAGGTGTTAGGGATTTCTATGGGCCGCACCGGTGGCTACAAAGGGGACTGGTGGTGGAATGCAGTTGTCCAAGGTAAAGTAGAAGCAAAGAAGACGACTTACCTGCGGTTAGTAGGGAGCACTAGCGAGGAGGAGAAGAGAGCGAACAATGAGAGGTATAAGGTAGCTAGGAAGGAGGCGAATATGGCAGTAACGGAGGCTAAAACGATAGCTTTTGCTCGTCTGTATGAGGAACTAAGGAACAAAGGTGGGGAAAAGAAGTTATTTCCACTCGCTAAGGTGAGAGAGAGGACAACTCGGGATCTGGACCAAGTGAGGTGCATAAAAGATGATGACGACAAAGTTTTGATGGGAGATAACCGGATTAAGAGGAGGTGACAGACTTACTTTCATAAACTTTTAACTGAAGAAGGGGATCAGGATATTGTACTAGGGGAATTGAGGAATGCCGACAGTCCCCATGAATTAAGTACTTGTAGGGACATTGAGATCGATGAGGTCATGGAGGCAATGCGTAAGATGAGAAGGGGCAGAGCTACCGAGCCAGACAAAATTCCGGTTGAACTTTGGAGGTGTGTGGGTAGAGCAGGCTTGGAATGGCTTACTGGATTGTTTAATGTTATATTAAAGACTAACAGAATGTCTGAAGAGTGGAGGTGGAGTACAATGGTTCCGTTGTATAAGAACAAAGGTGATGTCCAATGTTGTAACAACTATAGGGGTATCAAATTATTGAGTCATACCATGAAAGTTTGGGAGAGAGTGGTAGAAATGAGAGTGCGAAGGACGGTGCCTATTTCAAACAACCAGTTCGGGTTCATGCTGGGGCGATCTACCACAGAAGCTATCCACCTTATTAGGAGGATGGTGGAACAGTACAGGGATAGGAAGAAGGATCTCCACATGGTGTTTATTGATCTGGAGAAAGCGTACGATAGGGTTCCTAGGGAGGTTTTATGGAGCTGCTTAGAGGATAAAGGGGTCCCGGTTGCCTACATTAGGGTGATTAAAGACATGTATGCTGGAGCTAAAACTCGGGTTAGGACAGTACGAGGCGACTCCGAGCATTTTTCAGTTGTTACGGGCTTGCACCAAGGGTCTGCGCTCAGCCCATTCCTATTTGCCCTGGTGATAAATGCACTAACTCATCATATTTAAGGGGAGGTGCCATGGTGCATGCTATTTGTTGATGGCATTATTCTAATTTATGAGACACGAGGCGGCGTCAACGAGAGGCTAGAGGTTTGGAGACATGCTCTTGAGTCTAAAGGTTTCAAGTTGAGCAGGACGAAAACGGAATACCTCGAGTGCAAATTTGGGGTTGAGCCTACGGAAGCGGGAGTGGAAGTGAGGCTTGACTCTCAAGTCATTCCCAAGAGGGGTAGTTTCAAGTACCTTGGATCGGTTATTCAGGGGATCAGGAAGATCGACGAGGATGTCATACACCGTATAGGGGTGTGGTGGATGAAGTGGAGGTTTGCGTCGGGAGTTCTGTGTGACAAGAAAGTGCCACCGTTACTAAAAGGTAAGTTTTATAGAGCAGTGGTTAGGCCTGCCATGTTGTATGAGACTGAGTGTTGGCCGGTTAAGAACTCACACATCCAGAAGATGAAAGTAGCAGAGATGAGGATGTTGAGGTGGATGTGCGGGCATACAAGGATGGATAAGATTAGGAATGAAGATATTCGAGAGAAGGTGGGCGTGGCACCCATGGAGGACAAGACGCGGGAAGCAAGACTCAGATGGTTCAGGCACATTCAGAGGGGGAGCACTGATGCACCGGTAAGGAGGTGTGAGCGACTGGCTGTGGTGGGCACGAGGAGAGGTAGAGGGCGACCTAAGAAGTATTGGGGAGAGGTGATCAGACAGGACATGTCGCGACTTAGGATTACTGAGAACATGGCCCTTGACAGGGAATTGTGAAGGTCGAGCATTAAGGTTGTAGGTTAGAGGAAAGTTGTGAATATTTCAACAGCACAATAGAGTGAGACTAGCCAGTTAGGAGTTAGTCTGAGGATGCTATTGGTCGTCTACTGATGCATGGCTTTATCTACTGGTTTTTACTACACCATCCATTTATTTCGTATTTCGTATTCCGTATTTCGTATCTCTTATATTGCTATTATTTTATTATGAGTCTATTGGTGGTACTAATATATCGTCTCTTGTTGCTTTCTTGAGCCGAGGGTCTCCTGGAAACAACCTCTCTGCCCCTCGGGGTAGGGGTAAGGTCTGCGTACATATTACCCTCTCCAGACCCCACTTGTGGGATTATACTGGGTCGTTGTTGTTGTTGTTATTGTTGTTAATATGTTATTGAAATGACTTAGCGCTTGTTGTGGATGGTATTTAAGTATATTGTACTCATATTATATGCGTCAAATATATAATTATTTTTTAACTTTATTTTTCTTAAATTTCATGTCAACTAGAGGCGGACGTAGGGTGTTAAGTGCGGGTTCAATTGAACCCATAATTTTCAACGCGGAATAAAATTTATATGTAAAAATTCATTAAAATTGCAAAAACAGTAGATATGAACCTATAACTCTAAAAATATGCTAACAACTTTAAAAATTGAACGCATAAAATTTAAATCCTGGATTCGCCTCTGGTGTCAAGTCAAATTATATAAACCAAGAAAATTAGGGCAAGTAACTATATATATTACCTAAATCTTTCGTTGCTTTGTCGCCACATGAGTGTGGTGAAGGTTTGTAATGCTTGAATATCAGTTGGACATACAATCCCAAAGCTTTCATGAAGAGGAGCTGCCTCAAGCTGACCAACCCATCGATAGAAATAAAAGTCAGAAGAGTTCTTCTTCTTTGTTTCAATGGGAAGATCAAACAACTCATCCATTACATCAAAAATTTCATTCTCAAGTTCAGAAGAAACCTTATCATAAAGTGATATAAAATAACCATGATCTTCAAGTGCATGACGAACGTCATTGCACAATTCTAGCCAAGAATTTGAATCCTCTAATTTGGTGAGATCAATAATAGGAGCATTAGAAAGTGTTTGAGACATAATGTTTTGTTTTATTTAGCAAGAACGTTTCAAAGTATGTGGGGAATATTAATGCATGTCACTCTTTCAAGTTATACACAGTATATATATAGTATATAAGAGTTTTTCTGATACTTAATTGAACACTAGAAAATAAATAAGAAAACCAAAAGTATTTTGGGTTAGGGGTTGGGTGGGGGTTTACTGTTTTCTGTCATGAAAAAATAATAAATGATCGATCAGATCCATCATGGAAAATGAAATATCAATGAGTAGACGTTGGGTAAGTTTTCACCCATTTTGTTGCCTAGTAAAAGACCAAATATCTAGTTTAAAAGTGAGTTTTTTTTTTTTTTCCAACTTCTGAAGCTATAGAAGATTAGTTTAGAACTGTATTCCGCATCCCAAGATAAGAAATAAAGAATAGGCTAAAGTATTTCTGGGAATTTTCAATGGAGGGATCAAAACCACTTTTATATAAGGATAAAAGTTATGGCTCAAAAGTGAAAATTTGAGGTAACAGAGAAACCTAAAAGTGCAATATTCCTAGCAAAACATGACTATTGTTCATGTTAAAAATTATGACAAATTTATTTGAGTTTTTTAAATCAAACTTTTAATATTTCTTGGGGTTTAACCATCTGTTATCGAAATCCACTAGCCCGGCTATACTAGATTCATGTCGCGTAGGATTTGTTTAAGGAAAAAATATTCTCAGTCAAGAATTTCTTCGATTATAACGCTTGAATCGAGACCAAGTAAGCTACATGAGCTATCAATTTATGACAAATTTACTAAGTTTGATTGCTCAAATTAATGAAATTTTCAGCATACTGTCAATTTGAGAAATGTAACTTGTCTTTCTCATTACCGAACCTCGCAAACTATTTCGTAAAATCAAAGCTGAATTATTTTAGTTATGATACATAGTTGGTACGATATATTGTAAATGAATTTCAAGTAGCCATCACTGGGATTGATTCGTTTATGATAAAATTTTGATGTGCTCATGCATGAGCTCATATTTGTTATATATTTATGATTTTAGGGTGCATAAGTGCATTGACTAAAGAATTAATGAAATTAAAATATGGCGACTGTCTTCTGTCAAAGCTAGATCATTTATGGAAAAAATTACGCGATACAATAAATATATACATTGTATTTATAGTTTGTAGTTATACTTTTAGAAAATTACCATTTTGTAGCTATATTTGAATTTTATAGCAAATCCGCTTGTAGTACTGAAACAAGAGATTAACTCTTTTGAACTGAAGTAAGAGATTAACAAGCTCTCGTAATTTAGTTGGTTAGAGACTTAGAGTGCCCCATAGCAAGTGGAAGTCTTGAGTTCGACTTTCACAGAAGCATTTTATTTTTTTGTATTTTGCCTTGGTTGTATATCGTTGCGCAAACTATAATTAGCTTTTTGGAGTCCTTTTTAAAAAAAAAAATAATTTATCCAATGTTCCGAAGGGGCACTTTTGGAGTCTAAATACTTTGTTTTAAACAAACTATATTTAACAAAATGTTAGCAAATAAATAAAAATGCCACAGAGTTATTTGGCGTAGGATTATTCAACTAATCAAGACATGCTTAAATATGATTAATATTTATCAATCGTACGTATGACGTCAAGAAACAAATAATTTTCTAAATTTGTTGATTAAGATAGGTTCAGGTCTATTATCGTACACAACCTAATGCATGTGGGTTTGTTTTTAATATTCTTTTAATCTGCTCGTATTAAATTAGCATATATATATATATATATATCAACTTCGATTAGATTAGACATAACAACTAATCATAAGATCATGCTAAGCTCAACTACCGAGCTTAGTTTAAGACTTTGTTCTTATTTACATTAGATATGAGTTTAACTTTTATATACGAATATTGTAAATTCTTTAAATATTATTTGCCATCTAAAAAATAATTTTAATTAACTGCTCATAATGAATGAAACTAGTTATTTGAAAAATAAGAGACACTCAATTGTGAATGTGTGACACACACGCATGCACTCACGCAACGTGCACACACACAACTAAAAATATAAAGCACCCAACTAAAGTAGTATATACTTTTTTACCTTTTAAATATATATTTCACATAAGATAAAATTATCAATTAAAATTTTATAATATTTAGAACTTTAAATTTAACTAAAGTTTTGAATATTTTATATTTCTTTATTTTAACTATATATATGTAGGAACTCGTAATATTTAGAAATTTAAAAATCGACTAAAACTTTACTTATATAAATTATTTCCTCATTTGAATTCTGTAAAATTAGGTAATTACTAAAAAAATGAAGGATTTGTAATTGTGGTATAGATCTAGCTATGCATAATAAGGAAACTTAATAATCTAAATGTAATTAAATCGCTTTTATCTTCCGAGAAATTGAAGAATTACATGATATTTAGTTGTGAAGGATCCACGTTAGCCTCATCAACCTTAAACTCTATCCCTAATCATGCAATGCAATGCACTATCTTTCTTACCAAAATCCAAAAATAAATTGATCAAATACAAAGAAACTTCATTTGGGAAACTACTAATGAGAAGAAAAAGCTTCATCTTATTAATTGGAATACCGTTACAGAGCCTAAAGAATTTGGAGGGCTTGGCATTTAAAATGCTAATTCAAAGAACATGACGCTTCTAAGTGGCCTAACATGGTGAATCCTTACCAATCGCATCGCCCCATGGACAAATATTCTCATCAAAAAAAACAAAAAATCCCTCTTTCATTTGGAAAAAGCATCCTCAAAGGATGGGCTACGTGCTCTAAAGGTATTTTCTGGCAACCAAGCCAAAACTCAAATCTTAACATTTGAGACACACGTTGGATCCCTAATTCTCCTATATTGAGAAATTGTATCTTAAGGTCAAAAATATCATTCATAATGGTAATTAAAAATTTTCTGATCTCCTTCGAATTGCCAACTACCATTGTTAATAACATAAAAGCCATCCCACAACCTCTCAATCAAGGCAACTCTGACAAGCCCTTATGGAGCCTGAACAACAATGGGGCATTCACCGCTAAAACATGCTATCAATTGATTAATGATATACCCCCAGTGGAACTTGACTTCAACTGGATAGGGAAGTTACACTGCCCCAATAAAATTATATTCTTCCTATGGCAATGTCTCAATGATAGAATTCCTTGTCGTCAATATCTCTGTCGTATAGATTTAAATATTGATCCTCAATGCACTATTTGCCGTAGAGATGATGAAAACATTACACATATTTTTCTAAAATGCCCCTATGTTAGAGAAATATGAAAGTCATTTGACATCAACATCAATAGTATTCTTGGTAGTAACCATTGGCTTCTCAATTTAAGGTACTTAAATCCTACATTAAAAATGAATATTATTAAATGGGTTGATATACTCCCTTTCATCTTATGGGGTATTTAATTTGGATTTCCAGAAACAAAAACAACTCAAACAAAACAAATTTCCCACCCTTACTAAAAACCATAATAGAGCATGCTCCGGAATTCCTCTTGCTAAACTCCACAAGTGCACCTCTCCAAAGCAAAATGTCGGTCAAAATAAGCTGGCATGCACCACATAAAAATTGATATAAACTTAATACTGATGGAGCATACAAAAATTGTGCTACGAATTCAGGAATAGGAGGAGTCTTCAGATATCACACAGGTAATTGGATCATTGGCTTCCAAAAACAAGATACTGCCATTTCTCCTATACATGCTGAATTGCAAGCAATATACGAGGGGCTCCAAATTGCCACAAATTTCAAACTTTTTCCCCTTGAGGTGGAAACAAATTCAACAGCGGCTATCAATGCAATACATCAAGACCATATAGCTTTTTCTAACATTGTTTATGCATACAGACCATTAAAGCACCAGCAGAAGGACCTCCTGCTTCGACATAATTTCCACGAAGGCAATCAAGTGGTGTATCTACTAGCTAAAGACGCCACCAAAAAAGACTTTAAGCCGTTTAGTTCGGACAGGCCAAGGCTCCATGCAACTCCACCTCTTTTTGTGAAGCTACAATTGACGACGGAACAAAATCGAAACTGTCTTTTTGAAAAATCTGTAGCAACTACGTCTTGTAATATGCTTGGAACTTTAGGTAATCAAAATATTTCTTGTGATATTCCACCAATGAGTGGGAACTTTTCATCTACTTGTAACAAGCTAAAAGACTTCTAGTTATTATAATAAATATTCCGTAACTATCAAAAAAGAAGGATCCAGGTAAATAATTAGGAAGTAGGTGTTTATGTGATTGGTTAGAAATGATATATATTTCATAGAGTTTGCTAAAATCGCGTATACATTACTACTAGATGGGTCAGATTTCTAATTAATAATTAATGGGAACAAAACAATTCGGCAACATGAAATATTATTTGATTTAGAAGTTCCAATTCTTTTCCTCACCGTTCTCTATGTTATAAATACACGTATTAATCATAACATGAAATACACTTCAAGAAGGATACATAGACAAGTCGATCATCATTTTAATTTTGTGTTGAAGTTTCATGCTTATATAATATTCTTTCCATTCAGTTTTACTTATCCACTGTATTAGAAATCTAGTTTCACTTTTACTTGTCCATTATACTAAATTAAGAGAAAGACAATTTTTTTTTTCTTTTTCCTGTTTTACCCTTATCATTAACTACTCATTCCGCAAATTATTTTTCAAGACTTTTTGGAAATACTATCATTATTATGGTAAAATTATAAAATATATATTTTATTTATTGTTTCTTAAAGGACGTGAAAAGTAAAAATGAACAGAAAGAGCAGTAAATACAGATAACAACAATCAAGTCCATTATTCTCCAATAGTAGAAGTAAAACATCAAATTAAATATTATCAGCACTTGAAGGAAAGGCCTTCAGAATATCTTCATCTTGTGGTTCTTCACCCCATTTATTTATGGTTACGAATCAGTTCCATAGTATCAAAAGGCTTAAACTGCAGAGGATGAAGCAATGAGCTCTTCTAGTGTTCCTATCTTCATTGGATGTGAAAATTGCCCAAGTGAATATCTTGATTCATTTCCACTCATTGTAAC